TCAGTAAAATAAAAATAATAATGATTTCTAATACTAATAACAGATATATAGCCACTTTGGGTCTCCTTGTGGAGAACAAAGCAGGGTATAAACATAATAATAATGAACATTAATAATAATAATAATTCCTAATACAAATAATGGATACATAGCTGCTTTGAGACTCTTTGTGGAAAGAAAAGCAAGGTACAAATAAATAAATAAATAAATAAATAAATAATATTTTCTCATACTAATAATGGATACATAGCTGCCTTGAGCCTCCTTGTAGAAAGAAAAGCAAAGTATAAATAAACATAATTATTATTTCTAATACTAATAATTTCCTACTTTTCTTTCACTATATTGTTCCACCTCTTTTTACATATATAGCATTTCTTTTGTGGTTAATAAAAAATTAATGAAAATAATAATAATGGATACATAGCCGCCTTGGGTTTCTGTGCGGAGAGAAAAGAAGGGTATAAACGAATATTGGCCTTGCCACTGGGCAGGGTGGCCTTTGGGGGGCTGTGGGTTCTGCTCTCCCAAGGCTGTGATTTCTATGATTCTCTGCCCACAAAGGGGGCTTTGAGGGGTTTCTCTCCTCTCCTAATGTTGTTCTCCAGTTTGCGGCGCGTGAGCAGGAAATGGCGCCAAGTGGGGCTTCCTGAGCGGCTGGAGAGGAAACACAGCCATGAGCGAGGAGGGGGGGCAGGCCCCAGTTAAAAATAACTTGGGTATATAAAGGCAACGGAGGATCCCAGCTCTGGCTTTGCATCGGCACTCAGTCTAAGCGAGGCCTGCTCAGCTAATTCCAATGGCAGGAACCAACCAAAGCATTAGGAAGCACTTTTCGGACAGCAAGAATCCTTCTGGGAGACAAGAATTGATGTTTTAATTAGGGAACCACAATACAACAAAATCAACAATAAACAAAAACTGAAAGGCTATGGATAAAGGGAACTAAAAGTTTGGGAAACGATTGAAAGGGAGAAACAAAACTGGGTTGTATCAAGAGATCAAGAAGAAACGGGATTTGAAAACTTGTTGATTCATAATATGATGATGACCTGACGTTATGGACGAACCCTCTCCTATAAGAAATATTGGTAAATAAGAGTCCCAGAACCTCTCAAGTAAACCTGGAGAAGCAGAACCCAGTCAAAGCCCCCTTTGTAGGCAGAGAATTGTACAATCGTGTTATCATTATGATTACTATTATTATTACCCCGCTTTCCTCTCCATGAGCCTCAAAGCAGCTCAAAGACAGACTCAAAGATCAATCATTATTTATACCGCTTTTTCTCTCCACAAGGAGACTCAAAATGACTATTAGAATGTATCATCATCATTACTGTATATACTCGAGTATAAGCTTAGTTTTTCATCCCCTTTTTTTAGGCTGAAAAAGCTCCCCTCGGCTTATACTCAAGTCAAGGTTATTTATTCTTTTACTCTGTTATTAGTATTATTTTATTACATTTATTCTTTTACTCTATTATTATATTTACATTATTTTGCTCTATTATTATTCTCTTTATTATTTTGCTCTATTATTATTATTATTATTATTACATTTACAGTATTTTACCCTATTATTATTACATTTATTATCATCTATTTATTATTAGTAGTATTATTATTACATTTACAGTGGAGCTCCCGGTGGCGGAGTGGGTTAAATCCCTGTGCCGGCAGGACTGAAGACCGACAGGTCGCAGGTTCGAATCCAGGGAGAGGCGGATGAGCTCCCTCTATCAGCTCCAGCTCCTCATACGGGGACATGAGAGAAGCTTCCCACAAGGATGATAAAAACATCAAATTATCCAGGCATCCCCTGGGCAATGTCCTTGCAGACGGCCAATTCTCTCACAACAGAAGCGACTTGCAGTTTCTCAAGTCGCTCCTGACACGACAAAAAAAACACAAACATTTACAGTATTTTACCCTATTATTACTACATTTATTATTTTACTCTATTATTAGTTTTTATTGCATTTCATTATTTTACTCTATTATTTTTATTATATTTATTGTTTTAATAAGAAGTACATTTACATTGAAGGAGCTTAGAATAATGGTTTAATAAGAGTTGGACAGTCTTATCTTACAGTTTTATGTAAATATTCAGAAACATTTAGCCTATTGATGCCTCAATTAATGTAATTTTATTGGTATCTATTTTTATTTTGAAATTGATCCATAGTGGATGCTTTTCCCACCCTCGGCTTATACTCGAGTCAATACGTTTCCCCAGTTTTTGGTGATAAAATTAGGCACCTCGGCTTATATTCAGATCGGCTTATATTCGAGTATGTACGGTATATTTATTTATGCCCCACTTTTTCCCTCCACAATGGAAAATCAAAGCAGCTATGTATCTCTTATTATTATTATTATTATTATTATTATTATTATTATTATTATTATGGTAAAGGTAAAAGTTTCCTTGACATTAAGTCTAGTGTTGTCTGACATTGGGAGATGGAGCGCATCTCTATTTCTAGGCCGAAGAGCTGGTGTTATCCATAGACACCTCCAAAGTCATGTGACCAGCATGACTGCATGGAGCGCCATTACCTTACTGCCGAAGCGGTACCTATTGATCTACACACATTTGCATGTTTTCGAATGGCTAGGTTGGCAGAAGCTGGGGCTAACTGCACGAGCTCAGCCCACTCCCTGGATTCGAACCATCAACCTTTCGGTCAGCAAGTTCAGCAGCTCAGCGCTTTAACTTGTTGTGCCACCAGGGGCTCCATTATTAGTATTAGAATGTATTGTTGTTTTTGTTATTTATGCTCCACTTTTTTTCTCCACAAAGGAGACTCAAAGCAGTTTTGTTCATATTAGCATTATAATGTATTATTATTACTAGTCATCCCCTGCCATGTATTGCTGAGGCCCAGTCTATGTATATGTGTTTTGTGTGTATATATATGTTTATATGTGTGTGTATATATTTGTGTATATGTGTATTTATGTGGTTGTGCGCATATGTTGTAATGTTTTTTTTTTGCTTTTTAAGTCTCTTCCTCTATGTTTTTCAGTGTTTTTATGAGTGATGGTCACTTGTTGGCCTGCTATGTGTATTGTATCCAAATTTGGTGTCAATTCGCCCAGTGGTTTTTGAGTTATGCTAATCCCACAAACGAACATACATTTTGGGTTGTTGTAGGTTTTTTCGGGCTATATGGCCATGTTCTAGAGGCATTCTCTCCTAACCAACAGACTTCACTACATCTGAGGATGCTTGCCATAGATGCAAGCGAAATGTCAGGAGAGAATGCCTCTAGAACATGGCCATATAGCCCGAAAAAACCTACAACAACCCAGTGATTCTGGCCATGAAAGCCTTCGAAAAAGAACATACATTTTATTTATTTATTATTATTATTATTATTATTATTATTATTATTATTATTATGTTTATTTATAGCCTGCTTTTTTTCCTCCACAAAGGAGACTCAAAGTAGCTATATATCTATTATTAGTATTATAATGTATTAATAATAATTTATACATTTTCCCTCCAAAGAAGACTCAAAGTAGCTATGTACCTATTATTAGTATTATAATTTATTATTATTATTATTTTTATTTAGACCCTTTTTCCCTCCACAAAGAAGATTCAAAGAAGATATGTATCTATTATTAGTATTATAATGTATTTTTAAACATTTATACCTCACTTTTTCCCTTCACAAAGGAGACTCAAAGCAGCTATGTACCTATTATTACTATTATAATGTATTATTATTATGTTTATTTATACCCCACTTTTTCCCTCCACAAAGCAGGTATGTATCTATTATTAATATTATAATGTATTATAATGTATTATTATTATTATTATTATTATTATTAAACTTATACCCACTTTTTCCCTCCACAAAGGAGATTCAAAGAGGCAATGTACTTATTAGTATTATAATGTAATATATTATTATAATTATGTTTATTTATACCTTGCCTTTTCCCACTACAAAGGAGACTCAAAGTGGCTATGTATCTATTATTAGTATTATTAGAATGTATTATTATTATTATGTTTACGTTTATTTACACCCTGCTTTTTCTCCCCACAAGGAGACTCAAAACAACTATTGGAATATGTTGTTGTTGTTACTATAATTCTTATTTGAAACACAACAAGATTAGTACACAGCAAACAAGATCTGGCTGTTCTATTGGATCACACGTCAGACCCTTTCCAAGTGTCTTGGACTGTGTGATGTATCAGTGAATAATGCGTGCAGATCCGAGTAGGGTGGCCTTTTGCACCTGACAGATGGTGTCACACACACACACACACATTATATATTATATTATATATATACCGTGGAGCCCCCGGTGGCGCAGTGGGTTAAACCACTGAGCTGCTAAACTTAATGACCAAAAGGTCTCAGGTTCGAATCTGGAGAGTGGCGTAAGCTTCCGCTGTCAGCCCCAGCTTCTGCCAACCTAGCAGTTCAAAAACATGCAAATGTGAATAGATCAATAGGTACTGCTCCTACAGGAAGGTAACGGTGCTCCATGCAGTCATGCTGGCCACATAACCTTGGAGGTGTCTACAGACAACGCTGGCTCTTCGGCTTAAAAATGGAGATGAGCACCACACCCCAGTCGGACACGACTGGACTTAATGTCAGGGGAAAACTTTTACCTTTACCTTATATTATTTTAATAACATTTAATGATTTAATTCTTTGAATAATTGTTGATATTTAATATTCAATTGGTATATTAGATTGGAGTTTTACACACACACACGCAAAAGCAGATGTCCACATTTTTTGTTTGGCTAGATGTGGTTTTCACATTCTACGTTAGGAACATCTGGCTTTGTTTCGGTGCTATCTTTCTTATGTCACTTAATGCAAAGGCACGTCTTAGCCAGGGTCCTGAAAGGGGGCCCTGGAGCATGTGCAGACGGCCGGCTGGCTGACCGGCCAAGGGAGCTTCTGCGCCCTCCTTTTATAGGGGAGCTAAATTTAGGCCGAGCAGCAGCAGCAGAATCAGGAGCACCTCCTCTCCTTCTCTCTGCTCACTTCCTGAGCTGCCTGTCATTGGCCTGAAGGCCGGCCTGGGCCGCCTTAAAAGGGGCTCCGAGAGGGAGACGCTCCAGACCGACTCCTTCCTTCTTTCACAGCTTCTACCATGGCCACCGCGAGCCTCCCCTCCTTCGCCTCCTTCTGCTGTGCTGCCGAAAGCCGATTTCAGGTCAGTCACCTAATGCCTCCCTCTTCACATGCTCAGGAGCACCCTGGTCCTGGTTCAAAGCCTGGGGGAGGGATGAGAGGTCATTGTAAACTCATATAACTGCATTGAACTGCATGATATGGTCATTGTAAACACATATACTTAAATGGGATGCATATGGTCATTGTAAACTCATATAACTGCATGATATGGTCATTGTAAACTCATATACCTGAATGGGATGCATGATATAGCCATTGTAAACTCATCTAACTACATGGGCCGCATGATACGATCATTGCAGACTCATATAAGTGCATTGAACTGCATATGATTTTGTAAACTCATACTACTACATGGGCTACTTACGCTATATGGCCAGCATAGAACGACATGGGCTGCATGACACAGTCACTGTAGACTCATACAAGTGCATTGAACTGCATACGATTGTTGTAAACTCATATTACTATATGGGCTACATACGCTATATGGTCATTGTAGACACACAGAACATGGACTGCATGATATGGTCATTGTAGACTCATATAACTACATGGGCTGCATGATTACTTTGATGGTGCTTTTACTACATGGCAGGGGGTTGGACTAGATGGCCCATGTGGTCTCTTGTAACTCTGTTCTTTACGGTAATTGTAGACTCATTACTTAGGCAATCCCTCATAGTCCGAGGATGATGGTCCTCCAAGTTCGGTGTCCTAGCGGTGGGTCCGTAGGTGGCCGTGGAGCCCTATTCTTGACCTGCATTTTCTCCCGCAGTGAGGACATTGGTTTCCAGGTGTAAGGCAGTCTTGGCTTGATGCACCTTCCTCATGGCACATTTCTCTTTTACACTCCATTCGTGCCTCTTCAAATTCTGCAGCACTGCTGGTCACAGCTGACCTCCAGCAGGAGCGCTCAAGGACCAAGACTTCCCAGTTCTCAGTGTCTATGCCAGAGTTTTTGACTCTGTAAACTCACATACGTGCATTGAACTGCACAATGTGATCATTGTAAACTCATTACTACATGGGCTGCACTATATTGTAATTGTAGACACATAGAACTATATGGGCTGCACGATGCAGTCATTATAGACTCATATAACTACATGAGCTGCATGATATGGTCATTGTATATACATAAGTGCATTGAACTGCATATAATTATAATAATAAAACTTTATTTATACCCCACCACCATCTCCCCAAGGGGACTCGGGGCGGCTTACATGAGGCCAAGCCCAATAACACATCAGTAAAAACAAAACAGCAAGCAAATAAAACAGTACAATTAATATAACATATGGTCATTGTAAACTCATATAAGTGCATGGGCTGCATGATATGGTCATTGTAGACACATGTAAGTGCATTGAACTGCATGATGTGGTAATTAGACTCGTCTAACTACATGGGCTGTATGACACAGTAATTGTAGACTCATATAAGTCCATGAGCTGCATGTAAGTGCATTGAACTGCATGATATGGTAATCGAAAACTCATATAAGTGCATGGACTGCATTATATGGTCATTATAAGCTCATATAAGTGCATAGACTGCATGATACGGTCATTGTATACTCATGATATGGTCATTGTAAGCTCATATAAGTGCATGGGCTGCATGAGAGTTGAAAGTGGGTCCCTCTGTCAGTGCATAGAGGGGCAGGCTGGACTGCAAATCTCATCATCCCTGCGTCTTGTCACTTTTGATCACATCCTCTAGAATCCTAGAGCTGAAAGAATTCCTTCTTAAGGATCACATGACCTTTTCTGCTGCATCCCACTCTTGCTCATGTTTCTGTTTTGCTTTTTAATGCAGCCCCAAACCACATTGGCCTTTTCTGCTGAAGCGCTATCCGCTTGGCTCATCACAGTGTACTCTGAATGTGCTTTTCCTGCAAAAGGGCAGGAGGGGGTTGGACTAGATGGGCTATGTGATCTCTAGGATTCATATGAATCAACTCTATGGTTCCTTCTCCAATTGATGCAGCCTAGCATTGCACTGGCCTTTTCTGCTGCCGCATTACGCTCTTGGCTCAAGTTCAGGTTGAGGTCTAGGAGCCCTTCCACACAACCAGATAACCCAGAATATCAAGGCAGAATAACCCACAATCTCTGCTTTGAACTGGGTGATCTGAGTCCACACTGCCACATATCCCAGTTCAAAGCAGATAATGTGGGATTTTATTCAGCTGTGTGGAAGGGGTCTAGGAAAAACTACACGTAAGAGAGACTAGGCTCCCATGAATGCAGAATACACCTGCATTGGCCTTTTTAGCCCCTGCGTCACACACTTGGCTCAGGTTCAGCTTAATATGAGACACTGCATGAGACACTGGACTCCTCTTGCTGCACCCTAGAACCACATTGACCTTTCCTGCTGCAGTGCCACCCTGTTGGCTCATCAGGGATGCTTTGAATGTGCTCTTCCTGCAAAATGGTTGGAGGGGGTTGGTCTAGATCAGGGGTTCTCAAACTTTTCAAACAGAGGGTCAGGTCACAGTCCCTCAAACTGTTGGAGGGCCGGATTATAATTTGAAAAAAAGCATGAATGAATTCCTATGCACACTGCACATACCTTATTTGTAATGCAAAAGACACTTAAAAACGATACAATAATTAAAATGAGGAACTATTTTAACAAATATAAACTTATTAGTATTTCAATGAAAAGTGTGAGCCTTCTTTTGAGATAGGATTGTTGTTGTTCTGTGCTTTCAAGTCATTTCATACTTAGGTTGACCCTGAGTGAGGGCCGGGTAAATGACCTTGGAGGGCCGCATCCGGCCCCCGGGCCTTAGTTTGAGGACCCCTGGTCTAGATCAATGGTTCTTAACCTGTGGGCTGTGGACCACCAGTGCGCCACGAGGCCAAAAATCTGGTCTGCAAATCTCCTTCCTCTTATTTCTGCTCCTTTCATGCTGCCTGCCACTCCTTCCCTGTCACTGACCATGGCGTAGGTTCTGTATCAGAAACTAGAGCCGATGTGGTCTATCCAATGCAATTTTCTGAACCAGCATCCCAAACCGAATCTAAAGCTGACCAAACACTGATTCATAACCCTTTTGGTACTAATGTTGGACAGTGGCCCCTGGTAAAAAAATAAAAAGGTTGGGAACCACTGGTCTATATGGCTCATGCAGTCTCTTCCAACTGTTCTATGGTGGAATGCTTCTCTTTCTACTCTGGATGCAGCCAAGGATTGCATTGGCCTTTCCTGCTGTTGTACCGCCCTCTTGGCTCAGGGATGCTTTGACTGTGCTATTTCTGCATAATGGCGGGAGGGGGCTGGACTAGATGGCCCATGGGGTGGCCTCTTCTCAAGTTGTATGCTTCCATTTCTCCTCTGGCTGCAGCTGAGGATCGTATTGACCTTTTCTGTTGCTGCTGCATCACGCTCGACTCAAATTCAGCTTGGTATATAAGAGAGGCTAAATAGAAGAAAGACTAGGCTCCCACTAAAGCGGTATACAATTGCATTGGGCTCTTCCTACATCATGGCAGGAGGGGGTTGGTCTTGGTCATAGAATCATAGAGTTGGAAGAGACCTCATGGGCCATCCAGTCCAACCCGCTGCCAAGAGGCAGGAATATTGCATTCAAAGCACCCCTGACAGATGGCCATCCAGCCTCTGTTTAAAAGCTTCCAAAGGGGGAGCCTCCACCACACTCTAAAGCAGAGAGTTCAATTGCTGAACAGCTCTCACAGTCAGAAAGTTCAGATGGAATCTCCTTTCTTGTAGTTTGAAGCCATTGTTCCGCGTCCTAGTCTCCTGGGAAGCAGAAAACCAGTTCGCTCCCTCCTCCCTATGACTTTCTCTCACGTATTTATACATGGCTATCATGTCTCCGCTCAGCCTTCTCTTCTTCAGGCTAAACATGCCCAGCTCTTTAAGCCACTCCTCATAGGACTTGTTCTCCAGACCCTTGATCATTTTAGTCGCCCTCCTCTGGACACATTCCAGCTTGTCAATATCTCTCTTCAATTGTGATGGCCAGAATTGGAGACAATATTCCAGGTGTGGTCTAACCAAGGCAGAATAGAGGGGCAGCATGACTTCCCTGGACCTGGACACTATACTCCTATGGATGCAGGCCAAAATCCCATTGGCTTTTTTTGCCACCGCAGTGGTTCTTAACCTGTGTGCAGTGGCCCACTAGTAGGCTGAGAGGACAAAAATCTTGTCCGTGATCCTCCTTCCTCAATCCTCAGAACTGGATTGGCCTTTCCTGCTGCAGCGCTACCCTCTTGGCTCATCACAGTGTACTTTGTGCTCTTCCTGCATAATGGCAGGAGGGGGTTGGACTAGATGGCTAATGGGATGTGTTTCAAGATTGTATGCTTCTCCTTCTCCTCCGGCCGAGGACGGCATCGGCCTTTTTTGCTGCTGCACCATTCTCTTCGCTCATCAGGGGTGCTTTGACTGAGCTCATCATGGCAGGAGGGGGGTGGGCTAGATGGCCCATGGGGTGGTCTCTTCCAAGGCTTTCTTGCTCTTGATTGACGCCCTTGCCTCTCTTTTCTTTCCTCTACAGCCAGATCCCGCTTCGCTCTGGCCCTGCGCTCTAGAGGCCCGGCTGCCCCCGGAAGAGGAAGCCCGTTGCCATGATGAAGAGGAGGACGGGGACTTGAACTCGGTGCTGGAGCTGATCCTCTCTATGGGGGGCGGAGGGGGCTTCTACCCGGAGGAGGTGAGCCCGCCCCCTCCACGCCCTTCCTGCTGCGCCCTGGAGGCGCCCTTCTTCCCCTTCGAGGCCCCTCCGCCGGCGGTGGCGGCGCCCTTCCTCCCCGCGCACGGCCAGTCCTTCGTCCACGACAGCCCGGAAGTGCAGGGCCGCTTCTTCTTCGTGAGGCCTGCGCCCTCGCCCACCCCGCCCTCGAGTCCTGAGGCGCACTGTGCGGCCTTCGGGGCCTTCCAGGATCCGTCACCATCGCCGCCGGAGCCCAAGCCAAGGCGAGGCCGCCGCGCCTGGCCCCGCAAGCGCCCCGCCGCCCACTCCTGCTCCTACGCCGGCTGCGGGAAGACCTACACCAAGAGCTCCCACCTCAAGGCCCACCTGCGCACGCACACCGGTGAGCGCATGCGCGGGCCCGCCACAGCCTGCTGCACATGCTCAGAACAGCTAGGTTGTTTTCCTGCGCATGCTCAGAACAAGCCCGAGAGAAAGGCGCATCTTGAAGCAGCCCGAGTCTCGCTACACTTTCCTCCCCTCTCCGCGTGCGCATGCTCAGAACGACCTTGTTGGGAGGACGCTTGAGTCCCTCTGCGTATATAAACCCGAGAGAAAGGCCTAGCTGAGGGCCCGCTTCAGCCTCCCCGCGCATGCTCAGAACAGCTTGGTTGGGAAGCCTGGTTCCTACTACGCATGCTCAGAACAGTGCCCAACTGAAGCGGAGGGAGAGAGAGCCCCTTAAGTGAGCCAGGGTCCCACTACGCATGCTCACAACAGCTTGGTTGGAACGCCTGGGTCCCACTACGCATGCTCAGAACAATGCCCAACTGAAGCGGAGGGAGAAAGAGCCCCTTAAATGAGCCAGGGTCCCACTACGCATGCTCACAACAGCTTGGTTGGGACGCCTGGGTCCCACTACGCATGCTCACAACAGTGCCCAACTGAAGCGGAGGGAGAAAGCCCCTTAAGTGAGCCTGGGTCCCACCACGCATGCTCACAACAGCTTGGTTGGGACGCCTGGGTCCTATTACGCATGCTCAGAACAGTGCCCAACTGGAGCGGAGGGAGAAAGAGCCCCTTAAGTGAGTCAGGGTCCCACTACGCATGCTCAGAACAGTGCCTGGCTGAAGCGGAGGGGGAGAGAGCGCCTTTTGAGGGAGCCTGGGTCCCACCACGCATGCTCAGAATGCTTGGTTGGGACGCCTGGGTCCCACTACGCATGCTCAGAACAGTGCCTGACTGAAGCGAAGGGAGAGAGCCCCTTAAGTGAGCCTGGGTCCCATTACGCATGCTCAGAACAGTGCCCAACTGAAGAGGAGGGAGAGCCCCTTAAGTGAGCCTGGGTCCCACTACGCATGCTCAGAACAGTGCCTGGCTGAAGCAGAAGGAGAGCTAACCCCTAGGAGCCTGGGTCCCACTAAGTATGCTCAACTGTTTTATAATTTGAAATGTTATATTTATTATTTGTATGTATAATGAGGCATTGAATTTTGCCACAATCTGTAAGCCGCTCTGAGTCCCCTTTGGCGTAAGAAGAGCGGGGTATAAATATAATAAATAAAAGAAATAAAATAATCCCCGCGCATGCTCAGAACAGTGTTTGGCTGGAGCAGAGGGGGAGATAGGCCTTAGCCTTTGCGCATACTCAGAACACTGGGGGGGGGGGGGGGGGGGGGGGTCGCTATACGCACGCTCAGATCAGGTCTGAGTGATAGCCCCAAAGGAAAAGGGGATGCCTATTTTTGATGCACACTTCTGGTACTGACCTTTTTTCCCCCGTTCCCCTCTTTCACAGGTGAGAAGCCTTACCACTGCAACTGGGAAGGCTGCGGTTGGAAGTTCGCCCGTTCCGATGAGCTGACCCGCCATTACCGGAAGCACACCGGGCACCGGCCCTTCCCTTGCCCGCTCTGCGACCGCGCTTTCTCCCGTTCGGACCATCTGGCCCTCCACATGAAGAGGCACCTTTAAGGGAGCGGACAGCCGGAAGTACGGCAACCAGTCGCACACGGGGACCAGAAGTACGGCACCCATAGACACACGGGGACCAGAAGTGTGCCTTCTGAGGTCCCTTTGAAAATGACAATGCACACAGAAGCAATCAAACGGCGCTCTTGATGTCAAAAGAAGCGGGAAAACAAGCCAAGCATGCGACGATGTGTGCCTGCACTGTATAGAGAGAGAATGTGATGTTTTTATATATATTGTACATAGTGAGAAAAGCCTGGGAGACAAAAATGGGCCTGTTTTGCAGCCCATTCCTTTTTATTATTATTTTATATAAATAAAATTGAAAATATATTAAAAGAAGACTTTTTTTTGGCAATCACAAACCGGAGGACAGTCTAATCCCGTGTCTCTCAGCCTTCTGAATGCCGCGACCTCTTAATATTTATTAATATTTATTTACGGTATTTATATTTTGACTTTCTCACCCCACAGGGGACTCAGGACAGATTACAATGTACATATACATGGCAAACATTCAATGCCACAGACACACAACATATATATACAGACACATAGAAGCTATTTAACATTCCAGCTTTTTCATGAGGGTAATTTGGCCACCAGGGGAGCTGTTGCTTCATCGTCCATTTGTGACATTGATGAAGTACTTCCTCATTCTTTGCATGCTTGCTGGAGATTTTTATGGTGTTGTAAATTAGCCTCCCCACATAAGCGGTAACTAAATTTCCTACTTGACAGATGCAACTGTCTTTCGGGCTGCAAAGGTTGACAACAAGCTATACAAATTGGTCGGAAGCTCACTCCGACCTGGACTGGCTTCAAACTCATGACCTTTTGGTCAGTAGTGATCTTAATGCAGCTGACTCCCAACCAGCTGTGCTACAGTCCTGGTGCAGTTCCTCATGCTGTGGTGACCCCCAACCATAACATTATTTGCGTTGCTACTTCATAACTCATTTTGCTCCTGTTATGAATCATGTAAATATCTGGTATGCAGGATTTATTTTCATTCACTGGAACAAATTGGGCACAAATATCTGATACCCCAAATTTGAATACTGGTGGGGTTCCACTGGGATTGATTTTGTCATTTGGGAGTTGTTGTTGCTGGGATTTACAGTTCACCTACAATCAAAGAGCATTCTGAACTCCACCGATGAGAGAATTGGGCCAAACTTCCCACACAAAACAACAGGAAACACTGGAAGGGCTTGATGGGCGTTGACCTTGAGTTTGGGAGTTGTAGTTCACCTACATCCAGAGAGCACTGTGGACCAAATTTGGCAGAATACTCAATATGCACAATGTGAACGCTGGTGGAGTTTGGGGAAAATAGACCTTGACTTTACAATCAAAGAGCCCCTTGAACCCCACCAATGATAGAATTGGGTCAAACTTCCCACACAGAACCCCCATGCCTTGAAGGGAATCACTGATGCGAGCCTCCCTCCAGCCTTGCACGCTCTTTCTGCGCATGCACACCACACTGCCATGCACCGAGTACACCTGCTCTCCCCTCCCTGCTTGGAGTCTCAGAAACAGCCCTCCCCTTGTCTGAGAGGTTGGCCAATCACAGGGGAGGAGGGCTTTTAGTGGGAGAATTCACAGTCTGTTTCCAAAAAGAAAGAGGACAGGCAGATCTTCAGCCTTCTCTGCCAAAGGGGTTCCGAAGACCATCAGAAATATATATTTTGTGATGGTCTTTGGTGACCCCTCTGAAACCCCCTCATGACCCCCACAGAGGTCCCGGCCTCCAGGTTGAGAAACGCTGGTCTAAGCCCGCCCGACAAATGGCCACCCGGCCTCTGCTTATAATAAACTGATCACAGAATCTTATTCCAGGGAGGAATATACAAGCATCTAAAGAAAGAGACTCCATTGCATCCATTATCTACCTACTAGCTTGGGGACCTGGCGGTGCCGAGATGATTTGAAAAAGGCATTGTTTGTTTTGGGGGTGTCCGGTATTATCAATAGGGTATGGGTGAACTACAATGCCCAGAATCGTGGGTCAATCCTCCCCAAACCCTACCAGTATTCAAAGTTGGCCACTTGGGGTCTGTGCGCCAAGTTTGGTCCAGATACATTGTCATCTGGATTCTCTGGATAAGGGAGAATGACAACTTCCAGATTCCCAAAACCCTGCCAGTACTCACAGTTAGCCATGTTGGGTCTGTATGCCAAGTTTGGTCCAGATCTGTCATGGGCTGGGTTCAGTGCTCTTGGATGCAGGTGAACTACAACTCCCAAAATCAAGGTCAATTCCCACAAACCCCTGCAGTATGTTCAGTTGGTCATGGGGCTTCTCTGTGGCAAGTTTGGTCCCAGTCCATTGTCAATGAAGGTCATTTTCTCTGGATGCAGGTGAACTATAACTCCATTGCCTCCAAACTTCTCCAGTATGTTCTGTTGGTCATGGGAAGTCTGTGTGTCAAGTTTGGTCCAGGCCCGTCATTTGTGTAGTTAAAGTAGTCTGTTGAAGTTGGTGCTTAATCGGTTGAAGGTACTGCAAATCCCATCATTCATGGTCCATCTTCCCCCAAACCATACCAAGATGTAAAGTGGGTCATGGAGGTGGGAGGGTGGTTCTGTGTGCAAGTTTAGTCCAGGCCCGTCGTTCATGGGGGCCACAGTGGTCATTTGAAGTCGGATACAAAGCAGGTGAAAATACTGTGCATTCCATCATCCGTGGTCCATCCTCCCCCAAACCGCAGCAGAAAGTAAGGTAAGTTGTGGTGGGTCTTGTATGGATCAGAATCTTAGTCCTTCCAGGAAGGACACAGTCTAAACCAGGGGTCCCCAAACTACGGCCCGTGGGCCGTATGCAGCCCGCCGAGGGCATTTCTCCGGCCTGCGTGGCATGACCTGGCCTGGCCACGCCCACCTGGCGCCGCTCCGCCAACCGCGGGAACCCTCTGCTCCGGCCGCTCTGCTCGTGTGGGAGGGAGAAGCCTCCCAGGTGGGTCCTCTGGAGACCTAAGCGGCCGGAGCAGAGGGTTCCAACTTCCCGCTATTGGCGGAGCGGCGGCGGGTGGGTATGGCGAGGGAACGCCGGCGTTCCCTGGCCACGCCCACCCGCTGCCGCTCCGCCAATAGCGGGAACCCTCTGCTCCGGCCGCTCTACTCTCCGCGGCCACAAGGCACCTCCCACTCCACTCCTAGCCGCACCGGGAGAACAAGCCCCGCAGCGCCGCTCTGAAAAGGTTTGACACATTTGGGCACATCAATTATTATTATTATTATTATTATTATTATTATTATTATTATTATTATTATTATTATTTTCAGTGGCAAGTTTGGTCCAGATCCATCATTGTATGAGCTTCACAGCAATCTCTGGATTCTATTTTCCCCAAACTCCACCAGTGTTTACATTTGGGCATATGGAATATCAGTGCCAAGTTTGGTCCAGATCTATAATTTAGTCCACAATGATTTATGGAGGCAGGTGAACTCCAACTCCAAAACCAAAGAACACTGCCCACCAAACCCTTCCAGTATTTTCTGTTGGTCATGGGAGAACTGTGTGCCAAGTTTGGTTCAATTCCATCGTTGATGGGGTTCAGAATGCTCTTTGATTGTAGGTGAACTATAAATCCCAGCAACTACAACTCCCAAATGTCATGATTCTATTTCCCCCCAAACTCCACCAGTGATTAAATTTGGGCATATTGAGTATTTGTGCCAAGTTTGATCCCGATCCATCATTGTTTGAGTCCACAATGAACTCTGAATGTAGGTGAACTACAACTCCCAGCAACTACAACTCCCAAATGACAAAATCAATTTTTTGAGTGAAGGACATACATTGGGTTGTTAGGTGTCTTGTGTCCAAATTTGGTGTCAATTCCCCCAGTGGTTTTTGAGTTCTGTTAATCCCACAAACGAACACTACATTTTTATTTATATAGAAGTGTGGGTTTTTGTTTTTTTATTTGGGGGGGTTGCACTGCAAATAATATATGTGCAGAGTGTATAGGAATTCTTTCATGTTTTTTTCAAAATATAATCCGGCCCTCCAACAGTTTGCGGGACTGTGACCCCGCCCTCTGTTCAAAAGGTTTGGGGACCCCTGGTCTAAGCCCTCCCAACAGATGGCTGTTCAAGCTCTGCTTATAATAAAATAATTTTTCCCAGGCAGGAGGAGACACAATAGAACCCGACACATGTCCCCTTGCTCCAAAATAAGTAACATATTTTCCTCCTTTTATTATATTAAAACGATAACATTTCTCTTATATTAAACAATAATAGACACAAGAGAGTATGGGTTAAAACTCAACATCCTGACCTCCCAGCCTTTACCCGCCCCCCAATCAAGGCCCTTAACTTTGCTTCCCACACAATAGTTTAAAGGATAAATATAGATACAGCCATGTACAGAAATGACCCCTTTCCTTTCCTAACCAGATCCCTTCTAACAGCAGCAGCAGCAGGACCCCCGTTTTCCTGGAATTCCTACTCCCCCCCCCCCTTCCATTCCTTTTGAAAGAGGAGAAAGGAGGCAAAAAGGAAAGACAACAAGGAAGGAGAAAGGAACCTTGGGAAGGGGCACACTCGAAGAGCTCAAGGACAGGCTTAGCTGGGGTCTGGGCAAGATCTGGGCATAGAAGCAGAATGGGATGCAGCACCCCACCCCTGGCAATGGAGGGCCCTTCAAGGCTGCAGGTGCCAATGGCCTCCAACATCTCCCATCATCCTTTGCTTGAGACAGGGGGAAACAGGGGCCCAGTAACCCTAGTTCTCTACTGGGAATGGTAGATGATGGGATAAAGGATGATCATCAGACAGATAGATAGATGGATGATGGGACATAGGATGATCATCAGATAGATACATAGATAGCTAGATGATGGGATAAAGGACAACCATCATGTAGGCAGATGATTATCTATCTGATGATCATCCTATATCCAATCATCTATCTATCTACCTATCTATCTGATTGGATATAGAATGAACATCTGATAGATAGGATGATAGATGGAAGGAGGGATAGAGAAAGAGATTGGTACGCAGTTAGATTGGATGATTAGACAGATAGATACAGGATGGCGGGAAGGACAGAGAGAAAGGGGATAGTTGGAGAGAACGAAAGAGAAATGATAGGCCAAGGGAGGGATGGAGAGAAAGAAAGAGGATGAGAGTGGGATAGAGAGAGAGAAAGATGGGGTGATTGAATAGGCTGATTAGATAGATTGGAAGAGACCTCAAGGGCCATCCAGTCCAACCCATAATAGATGATAGAGATAGATAGATAGATAGATAGATAGATAGATAGATAGATAGATAGATAGATAGATAGATAGATAGATAGAATGATGGAAGGAGGGGCAAACAGAAAGAGGAGAAAGAACCATTGTCTTAGGGCGCAAGTGCTGAGTGGGATCCACTCATTAGCATGTGAGTAACTATAAGGATTGCATTGTCGAAGGCTTTCATGGCCGGAATCACTGGGTTGTTGTAGGTTTTTTCGGGCTATATGGGCCATGTTCTAGAGGCATTCTCTCCTGATGTTTCGCCTGCATCTATGCCAAGCATCCTCAGAGGTAGTGAGGTCTGTTGGAACTAGGAAAAAGAGTTTATATATCTGTGGAATGACCAGGGTGGGGCAAAAAACTCTTGTCTGTTGGAGCTAGATGTAAATGTTTCAACTGACCACCTTGATTAGCATTTGATGGCCTGGCAGTGCCTGGGGCAATCTTTTTTGAGAGGTGATTAATGTCCTTGTTTGTTTCCTCTCTGTTGTTTGTTGTTGTAATTTTAGAGTTTTTTAATACTGGTAGCCAGTTTTTGTTCATTTTCATGGTTTCCTCCTTTCTGTTGAAATAGTCCACATGCTTGTGGATTTCATTGGCTTCTCTGTGTAGTCTGACATGGTGGTTGTGAGAGTGGTCCAGCATTTCTGTGTTCTCAAATAATATACTGTGTCCAGGCTGGTTCATCAGGTGTTCTGCTATGGCTGACTTCTCTGGTTGAAGTAGTCTGCAGTGCCTTTCATGTTCCTTAATTTGTGTTTGGGGCTGCATTTATAAGGATTGCATTGTCAACGAGAGAGGGCATCTGCCTAGAAGTATCCTGGAAGGCAGGAAAAATTGTTTGCTGCCTGGAGACATCCTTAGCCTGGTTGGCATTCACTAGCCTTTGACCACTTGACCGCTTTGTGAGACTAAACCAGAGAAACCACTGAAACCCACAAACGCATGGACAATTTCAACAGAAAGGAAGAAACCATGAAAAATGAACAATATGTGGCTACCAATAATGAAAAAAAAGCCACCAGAATCAAAGACTCCTGGACAAAGGAGGCCTCTAGGCAGGAAGCAACCAAGAGCTACTGAACGCCACCTAGACGAATTGAAATCCTAGAAATACATTTTAATATGCGTATTTATAGAATGTTTACAAGGTTCAAGGCCAAGCTATTCCAGGCCAATGCTCTCACTATGGACTATGCAATCTTCTCACTCCAACACTTGCAAATCTAGATTGCTAATTGCACCCTTTACACTTGTTCAGCAGACACTGATTCTTTTCTCCCACTCTTGACATTCCACCACAGGAACACATCTCACCACACTAAAACAGTGGATGTGGCTCTTAATGAGACATGCCGCATTATCACGGGGTGTCTGCGCCCTACGCCACTGGAGAAATTACACTGTCTAGCCAGTATTGCACCACCTGACATCCGCAGGGAAGTAGCAGGCAATAGTGAAAGGACCAAGGCAGAGACACTCGTTGGAACACCTCAGCAAGCGAGAGTCCAAAAGTGGCAGGCTCAAACCCAGAACCTCAACCAATGGCTGATACCAAATGAGAGACTCCCCTCTGGTCACACAGAAGACTGGGCGACTTGGAGAGCGCTGAACAGACTGAGCTCTGGCACCACGAGATGCAGAGCCAATCTTAAGAAATGGGGCCACAAAGTGGAATCCATGACATGTGAGTGTGGAGAAGAGCAAACCACAGACCACCTGCTGCAATGCAACCTGAGCCCTGCTACATGCACAATGGAGGACTTTCTTGTGGCAACACCAGAGGCACTCCAAGTGGCCAGATACTGGTCAAATGACATTTAATCAATTACCAAGTTTGCAAACTCTGTTTTTTTTTTATCTGTTTGTTTGTTTTGTTCTGTTCGAAATGTAATACAATGGTCTGGTTGCCCCTGACACGATAAATAAATACCACAGGTATATTATACACTCCACTTGACTCCCAACAGATCCTCTGAAGATGCCAGTAGCCACAGATGCAGGCAAAACGTCAGGAGAAAATGCTGCTAGATCTCATTGCTCGTATAGCCCGAAAACCACACAATGTCATCCTTAGCTTGAGATAAGGGGAAATGGTGCCCAGTAACCCCCAGTAGGCCCCAGGTCCTCTCTACTGGGAATGGTATCATGGTCAGGAGCCTTGGGGGTGTTTGGTGCCAACCAGGGAGTTGCGATAGAGGAAAAGCCCAGGACACAGGACACAGCAAATCCCCCAATGAAGCACAGAGCCCAAAGACCCCATTGAGTGTCTCATAGAAGAGGAAGATTGCAGACAGGAATGGCACAGGCCCTGCAATAGCAACCAAGACTTCCTCAGGCTTGTTTTTCTCCAGGCCGAGCGCACTCTTGGCATCCCTACCCTTAACCGCACACAGTTTTGATATGAGTCGGCGCTGGTTTTGTTTTTGAAAACCCCAAAGTCACCCCCTTTTTGAGGATTATTTGGCGCATGCCGTCAACAGGTTGATTGAGTTCCTGGACGCAAGAGAGTGGAAGAACACGAAAGCCCCAATGCCAACACCACATGGGCACAATGCTAATTGACTGTGGATGATGATGATGGGGAAATGGGCATGCAAGAATTCTCTCCCACTATATAGGTGTCATATGTTCTGCAGTTGTTGGTGATGGGTTAATGTGAGTATTAGTTCTAGAGGGTTTGGTAATCTGTAAGTGGGAGTTCATGGGTGAAAGCAATTAGGGGTGGAGGTGTGCAGGAGATGGGTTGCAGCTGGGTGTTACTGGATTTAAGGAGCTAAGATTTAAGGATCTTTGGGGAGAAAAGTATTTGTTGTATTGTTGAAGGCTTTCACACCTAGCTCCAGCAGACAAAAGTCCTTTGTCCCACCCTGGTCTTTCCACAGATATATAAACCCATTTTCCTACTTCCAACAGACCTCACTACCTCTGAGGATGCTTGCCATAGATGCAGGCGAAACGTCAGGAGAAAATGTCTCTAGAACATGGCCATATAGCCCGGAAAACCTACAGCAACCCAGTATTTGTTGTATTTTGGTGGTGGATGCTGCTGGTTTTTCCCCCAGGTCTGTTGGATTTTGTGATATCCTGACCTGTCTCCTGTAATCTTGGAATCCTGGAACCTTGAACCTTTGGACTGGCTTTTGACTATGGTATAGACTCCTGATCCCTGGACTTTGTTTATTGAACTCTCGACATTTGACCACTGCACTGGACCCTTTTGACTATGGAGTTGTTTTTGCTATTAGTTTTTGTTTATTCTGTGGCTGGGTGCTATCTTTATGTTTTGGTCTATTAAAACAGCCAGCAAGTAAGTGCTGTTTTATTTAAAGTGTTTGATAAAACTGGGAGTTTGGTTAATCTCTACTAAAATAAGGTAGAGCCCTGGCAATGTGACAGAATACTTTTCTCTCCCACGGAATCAAACCCACCCAGTTCTGCTTGTGTTTGTTTTGAGAGGCTTGCAAGATAAGAAGTTTTGGAAGTGTAATCCAGAGGAAGATGAGATGCAGCAAAAACCGGGAGTTTGGTTCATCTCTACCTAAATAAGGTAGAGCCTTGGCAACGTGACAATAGGGATCTTTTGAGGGGGCATAGGGCACTGAGTCTAATGGGGAGGGAGGCCAAAATGGAACCTGTATGAGAGCTGGCCCCATACATCTTGCACTACAAGAGTTTGCTTTTCCCCAATGCTTCTAATATTTGATAGCTTTAGGATACAAGTATGTCCCCTTTTTGGTGCCTTCTCGTGTTTAAGTGCTATTTCTCAACACAATTCCTCAACACACCCAGTCTCTTGTGCAATGAAATCTTTCCTCATTCCTGGAGCCTCCTCCTTATAAGTTACTCTGCCCTATCTCCCGGTGTTTTTAATATTTTCTATAATTTTATCCATGCATCTGACCCTGCCTAGTGAAATTTCCTGTGTTTTTAATGCTTGATTTTATATTGTTGTGTTGTATATTATTTCGATTTTGCATTTTACGTATTTTGCTTGTTTTATTGTGTTTGTGTTATAGCTTGTGTAGTATTGATGGGTGTGGCCTCATGTAAGCCGCCCCGAGTCCCCCTGGGGGAGATGGAGTGGGGTATAAATAAAGCATTATTATTATTATTATTATTATTATTATTATTATTATTATTATTATTATTTTGCAGACGTGGGGCAAGTGGAATGGTTTGTCATTTGGGAGAGAAAACAAACAAAGGAAAGAAGGAAGGACAGGAAGGAAAGGAAGACAGAAAGACAGGAAGGAAAGAAGGACAGGAAGACAGGAAGGAAAGAAGGAAAGAAGGACAGGAAGACAGGAAAGAAAGGAAGACAGGAAGGAAAGGAAGACAGGAAGGAAAGGAAGACAGGAAAGAAAGGAAGACAGGAAGGAAAGGAAGACAGGAAGGAAAGGAAGACAGGAAGGAATGGAAGACAGGAAGGAATGGAAGACAGGAAGGAAAGGAAGAAAGAAAGACAGGAAGGAAAGAAGGACAGGAAGGACAGGAAGACAGGAAGGACAGGAAGACAGGAAGGACAGGAAGACACGAAGGAAAGGAAGACAGGAAAGAACGGAAGACAGGAAGGAAAGAAGGACAGGAAGACAGGAAGGAAAGGAAGACAGGAAGGAATGGAAGACAGGAAGGAAAGAAGGACAGGAAGACAGGAAGGAAAGGAAGACAGGAAGGAACGGAAGACAGGAAGACAGGAAGGAAAGAAGAAAAGAAGGACAGGAAGACAGGAAGGAAAGGAAGACAGGAAGAAAAGGAAGACAGGAAGGAACGGAAGACAGGAAGGAAAGAAGGACAGGAAGACAGGAAGGAAAGGAAGACAGGAAGGAACGGAAGACAGGAAGACAGGAAGGAAAGAAGGACAGGAAGACAGGAAGGAAAAGAAGACAGGAAGAAAAGGAAGACAGGAAGAAAAGGAAGACAGGAAGACAGGAAGGAAAGAAGGACAGGAAGACAGGAAGGAAAGGAAGACAGGAAGGAACGGAAGACAGGAAGACAGGAAGGAAAGAAGGACAGGAAGACAGGAAGGAATGGAAGACAGGAAGGAAAGGAAGAAAGAAAGACAGGAAGGAAACAAGGACAGGAAGGACAGGAAGACAGGAAGGACAGGAAGACAGGAAGGAAAGAAGGAAAGAAGGACAGGAAGACAGGAAGGAATGGAAGACAGGAAGGAACGGAAGACAGGAAGGAAAGAAGGAAAGAAGGACAGGAAGACAGGAAGGAAAGGAAGACAGGAAGAAAAGGAAGACAGGAAGGACAGGAAGACAGGAAGGAAAGAAGGACAGGAAGACAGGAAGGAAAGGAAGACAGGAAGGAACGGAAGACAGGAAGATAGGAAGGAAAGAAGGACAGAAAGACAGGAAGGAAAGGAAGGACAGGAAAGAAAGGAAGACAGGAAGAAAAGGAAGACAAGAAGGAAAGAAGGACAGGAAGACAGGAAGGAAAGAAGGACAGGAGGACAGGATCACAGGAAGACAGGAAACCAGGAAGCACAGGAAGCACAGGAAGGAAAGGAAGACAGGAAGGAAAGAAGGAAAGGAAGACAGGAAGGAAGCACTGAAAGGAGGGAGGGAGAGTTTGCATGAGGGGCACCTTGGGGGAAGAGGCAGAGAACTGCTGTTTTGCCCGTTTAGTAGACCCCGCTACAGAGGGGTTTTCTTTCCAAGAAGCAGTCTTTCCAGTCCGGTACCATACAAGTTGGTTGTTGGCAATTGTTCCCCCGGAAGACCGCAGGCAGAGTCCTTCCCGGTCCCTCCACCGTCGTGAAGAAGCCGTGCCCCTCACCTGCTGCCCAAATGCCCATTTGTCGGTCAGACTGGCTCCACGGGAAACAGGAAAAGGGAGAGCCGAGGTCGAAGTCGAGGGACCGGCAGCCGTGCCTGGTCCTCCCTGCCTTCTCTTTTCTTCTCTTTCAAGGGGCTCCCGGTGGGCTTACGAGGCGGGCATGTCGGCCTTGCTGAGGGCGATGGCCAGCTCCAGGTCCTCCTGCTCCTGCCTCCGCAGCCGGGCCAGGCGGTCCCGCTCCGCCTTCTCGCTCTCCCGCTTGGCCCACGCCAGCTGCTGCTCCTCATTGCCAAGCTGGAAGGGAACGAGACAGCGAGGAAAAGGATCAGGATCCAAAATGACCTCAACAGATGAGAGAGCCGACTGGCCAAAAACTCACAATGAATTCCAACAAAGAGAAATGTAAGGTACTACACACATATAGGATGGATGATGCCTGGCTCGACAACAGTCCATGTGGGAAAGGCCTGGGAGTCTTCCTGGAGAACATGAGCCAAAAGTGTGATGCAGCAGCTCAAAAAGCCAATGGGATTCTGGGCTACATCCAAAGGAGTCTCATGTCTGGATCCAGGGAAGTCATGGTGCCTCTCTATTCAGCTTTGGTCAGACCTCTTTACACTGTGTCCCTTTCTAGGCAAAGCAATTCAAAAGGGATGATGATGATGATGATGATGATGATAATGTAATAAATTTTTTTGTCATGTCAGGAGCGACCTGAGAAACTGCAAGTCGCTTCTGGTGTGAGAGAACTGGCCGTCTGCAAGGACGTTGCCCAGGGGACACCCGGATGATTTTGATGTTTTATCATCCTTGTGGGGGGCTTCTCTCATGTCCCCACATGAGGAGCTGGAGCTGATAGAGGGAGCTCATCCGCCTCTCCCCAGATTCGAACCTGTGACCTGTCGGTCTTCAGTCCTGCCGGCACAGGGATTTAATAATAATAATGATAAATAATAATAATAATAATAATAATAATAATAATAATTATTATTATTATTATTTGTGGATGTATTTAGTATGGTGTTTTATATTATGTTTGGCATGGAATTGTTGCCTGTTTGGAAGCCATTCTGAATTGCTCCTTAGAGGTCAAGAAGGACTGGGTATAAATGTTTTAAATCTATATATATATAAATGCTCTGTGCATAATGAGTACCTTAAAAACAAAAGAACCAATGAACAAAATCACACCAAATTTGGCAACAAAACGTCTCACAACCCAAGGTGTGACCATCACTCAAAAAATTATGATTTTGTCATTTGGGTGTTGTAGTTGCTGGAATTTATAGTTCACCTACAATCAAAGGGCATTCTGAACTCCACTAACGATGGAATTAAATCAAACTTGGCACACAGGATAACCTTGACGAACAGAAAATACTGGAAGGGCTTGGTGGGCATTGACCTTGAGTTTGGGAGTTGTAGTTCACCTACATCCAGAGAGCACTGTGGAGTCAAACAGTGATGGATCTGGACCAAACTTGGCACGAATTCTCAGTATACCTAAATGTAAACACTGGTGGAGTTTGGGGAAAATAGACCTTGACATTTGGGAGTTGTAGTTACTGGGATTTAACTTACAATCAAAGAGCGTTCTGAAACCCCACCAATGACAGAATCGGGGCAAACTTCCCACACAGAACCCCCATGACCAACAGAAAATACTTAAGGCCATCCAATCCAACTCCCGTTTTCTTGCCCTGCACCAGGGCAAGAAAACGTAATCAAAGCCCTCCTGACAAAGAGCCATCCAGCCATAGATAGATATGCTTCACACACACACAGATATAGTATCATAGATTTGAAAAAGACCCCTGAAGAAGGACAATGATATGTTGCATGTTCCAGAGTAGGCAAGCCAGACAATCTCCACATCAACACTGACAAAGAAACATCAAGAAATACTGTTTACCCACAAGCATAAGGAAATTACATATATTAGAAACCAACTTTTTCTCATTACTTTGTTTTCCAGATCAACAGACTGGGCCACAGCAACGCGTGGCAGGGGACAGCTAGTAAATAATAAATAAATACTTCAAATGATCATGGGAAAGGGGAGATATTAAATATGACCATAAGAAGAACTGGTTATGGCTCATGAATGGAACCCTGAAGAAGGAGATGGAAGGCCTGATTCTTGCAGCCCAGGAGCAAGCCGTCAGAACCAATGCCATTAAGGCCAGGATTAGAAAATCAGCTGATGACCCAAAATGCAGACGGTGCAAGGAAGCTGATGAAACCATGGACCACCTACTCAGCTGTTGCAAGAAAATCGCACAGACGGACTACAAACAAAGGCACAACTCTGTGACCCAGATGATTCACTGGAACTTATGTCACAAGTACCACCTGCCAGCAGTAAAGAATTGGTGGGATCATAAATTGAGGCAACAGTAGGTTAAATGTTTTTGAATATTTACATAAAACTCTAATTTAAGATAAGACTGTCCAGCTCTGATTAAATCATTATTCTAATCTTCAGTGTCAATGTGCTTATATATCCCTCCAATACTAATAAAGAGAGTAAAATAATAATAATAATAATAATAATAATAATAATAATAATAATGAAATCCAGCATATATACTTCATTTGCTGTGTCATACTGTGTTTTTGTGTCAGGATGATGATGATGATGATGATAATAATAATAATAATAATAATAATAATCTATATAAATAAAAATGTAATGTTCGTTTGTGATATTCACAGAACTCAAAAACCACTGGGGGAATTGACATCAAATTTGGACACGATACACCTAACAACCCAATTTATGTTCTCCACTCAAAAAAAATAAACAATAATTAACTGGAAAGAACTTACCCCCCACAAGGCTAAATGCCTATATAGAGCCTGTGTTAAAAGAACCCCCTCCCTCGCCCCTCGCTCCTGCACGAGGGAAAAAAACCCAACCGCTGAGAGAGAGAGAGAGGCGGCACAAGAGAGAGAAAGGTGGCCGGTCTATCCCTCTGGCTACCCCCTGCCTCTCTCTTCCCAAAGGATTCAGAGAGAGAGAGAGAGAGAGAGAGAGATCTCCCTCCTTTCCTTTCCTTTCCTTCTTGCCTGGCTGCCTCCGCTGGGCTGCTGGGAACTCACAGGGATTCTGTGTGTGTGTGTGTGTGTGTGTGTCCAGAAACCTCACCCATACTGAGTTATGGGAAGGCATTCTGGGAAATGAAGTCCAGTATTCAAAGAAGGGACAAAAAGGCAGCTCTGTGAGTTAGCAAAGGCTGTCCAGGAAGGCAGAATCAAAACACTCCCAAAAGATGGGCATCCATTTTTACTTTATAGCAACCCTGGGCTATAATATATCTACAATAATAATAATAATATCTATATATCTATCAATCATAATAATATCTATCAATCTATAATGATATATATGTCTATGATATCTATATGTCTTTAACAATAATATCTACATTTCTATCATAATATCTATACGTCTGTAATAATGTCTATATGCCTATAATAATATCTACAGGTCTATAATAATATCCATATGTCTATAATTATAATATCTGTCTGTCAAAAATATCTTTGACTGTAGGTGAACTATACATCCCAACAACTACAACTCCCAAATGTCATGGTCTATTTTCCCTAAACTCTACCAGTGTTCACATTTGGGCATATTGAATATTCGTGCCAAGTTTGGTCCAGATCCATCATTGTGTGAGTCCACTATGCTCTCTGGATGTAGGTGAACTACAGCTCCCAAACTCAAGGTCAATGCCCACCAAACCCTTCCAATATTTTCTGTTGGTCATGAGATTTATGTGAGCCTAGTCTGGTTCAACTCCATCGCTGGTAGAGTTCAGAGTGCTCTTTGATTGTAGGTGAACTATAAATCTCAATAACTACAACTCCCAAAAGTCAAGGTCTGTTTTGCCCAAACTCCACCAGTGCTCACATTTAAGCATATGGAGTAGTGTGTCAAGTTTGGTCCAGCTCCATCATTGTTTTCCACAGTGCTCTCTGGATGTAGGTGAACCATAACTCCCAAACTCAAGGTCAATATCCACCAAACCCTTCCAGTATTTTCTGTTGGTCATGGGAGTTCTGTGTGCCAAGTTTGGTTCAATTCCATCATTGGTGGAATTCAGAATGCTCTTTAATTGTAGCTGAACTATAAATCCCAGCAACTACAACTCCCACAGGACAACATCAGTCCTCCCCCACAATCCCACCAGTATTCAAATTTGGGCATATCAGGTATTTGTGCCCAGTTTGGTCCAGTGAATGGAAATACCAGATATTTACATTACTATTCATAACAGCAGCAAAATGACAGTTATGAAGTAGCAACAAAACTAATTTTATGGTTGGGGTCACCATAACATGAGGAAGTGTATTAAGGGATTGTGGCATTAGGAAGGTTGAGAACCACTGGTCTAGATCCAGGGAAGTCATGCTACCCCTCGATTCCGCCTTGGTCAGATCACACTGTGTCCAATTGAATCACCACAATTGAAGGGAGATGCTGGAATGTGTCCAGAGAAGGGCGACTCAAAGGTCTAGAGAACAAGCCCTATAAGGAGCGGCTGAAAGAGCTCGGAAAGAGTTTTGCCTGCAGAAGAGAAGGCAGAGAGAAGACATGATGAGAGCCATGGATCAAGAGGTGAGGGGAAGTCCTAGGGAGAAGGGAGTAAGCTTGTTTTCTGTGGCTTGGAGACAAGGATGCGGAGCAATGGCTTCAAACTACAGGAAAGAACGGAGATTCCACCTAAACATGAGGAAGAACTTTCTGATTGTGTGAGAGAGCTGTTCAGCAGTGGAACTCTCTGTCCCAGACTGTGGAGGCTCGTTCTTTGGAGGCTTTTAATTAGAGGCTGGATGGCCACCTATCGAGGGTGCTTTGAACGCAATTTTCCTGCTTCTTGGCAGAATGGGGTTGGATTGGATGGCCCACCAGGTCTCTTCCAACTCTAGGATTCTATGATATGGATTTTGCATCCTTGGATTTGGTGTTTTACCATTGTACCTTGACGTTAATGGACTATTTCACATCTGTATTTACCAATTTTATTGCTTTGCTTTTATATATTCTTCAATAAACTGCTTGTTGGTTTGGACCGGTGTGGTGATTAAGTAAAGAGGTGTTCCTGCTCTGGGATACAGCATCCCCCACCCCCAATAAAAGCAAAGCCTTGGCTATTCAAAGAGAAGGAGCCGCACTTACTGTGCCGAAGTCCGCAAAGCCCCGCGAGGGCTCTTTGGAAGCCTTCCTCGTGGAGGAGGAGGAAGAGGAGGTGGAGGAGGAAGAGGGAGGGGGAGGAGGAGGGGGAGGAGCCACAAACAGGTCTCTTCCACTAAATAGGTCCCCAAACCCCTTGCTGCTCTGGAAAGGGTCACCGGTGTCAGGCCGGAACGGCTGAAAAGGGTCGGGGGGCTTGGCCAAACTGGAAGACCCCGCCTGGCTTACGGGAGGACTTTTACCTGGAAGAAGTTCGAGAAAGAGAGAAAGAAAGAGAGAAAGAGAAGGAAAGGGGGGAGAAGAGGGGAAGGGGAACAAAAGGGAGAGAGAGGAGAGGTTACTTGCCAGAGGAAAGGGGGCCAAAGACCCTCCAAAAAAGCCCACCTCCCCATGGAGTCCTGCAAGAGGGCCGCTTGCTATTCTGATTCTATAGCCTCTCCCAATCCCCATGGGTGCCTTTGGTTAGCAGAGAGTCTAGTTTATTATTATTATTATTATTATTATTATTATTATTATTATTATGCACTGTTGGAGACTTTCACTGAAAGCCGGATTGACTGCGGTGTTGTTGTTGTGGGGTTTCCGGGCTGTACGGCCAATGTTTTCTAGCAGCATTGGCTCCTTTTTCCATTTCACCTGCATCTGTGACCACTGGATCTGATGGGAGTCAAGCAAGTGGAGGATAGATATACCTGTGAAATAATGTCAATGGTGGGAGGAAAGAGGAAAGAGCCATTGTGTAAAGGGTGCAAGTAGCAATCTTCATTTGCAAGTGTTGGAGTGGGATCCCACCATTAGCATGTGAGTAATATAATTATTTATTGATTTATTTATTTACTTCATTTATATACCGCTTTTCTCAGCCCTTAGGTGACTCAAAGCGGTTAACAACAACAGTTTCAATACAAACATTACAAAATCATTGGAACATATAAAAGCAATAGCATAACAACAATTAAACATCAATATGACAATCATCTACGTCTCATCAATAGAATCAGAATCCAGTCTCATCATCCGTTATTCCATGTTCCTATAATCAATTACACTGCCTAATCAAATGCCTGTTTGAACAACCAGGTCTTCACTTTCCTCTGAAATGCCAGTAAGGAGGCGGCCGATCTGATATCTGAAGAGAAGGAAGAAGGGAAAGGAAGAGAAAAGAGATGGGACAGAAGAAGGGAAAGAAGAAGAGAAGGAATACGGGAAGGAATAAAGGAAGGGAAGGGAAAAGAAAGTAAGAAGGGAGGGAAGAGGGATGAGAAGAAGGGAAAGGAAGAGAAAAGAGATGGGAGGAAGAAGGGAAAGAAGAAGAGAAGGGAAGAGAAGGAAGAAGGGAAAGGAAGAGAAAAGAGATGGGACAGAAGAAGGGAAAGAAGAAGAGAAGGAATACGGGAAGGAATAAAGGAAGGGAAGGGAAAAGAAAGGAAGGGGGGAGGGAAGAGGGATGAGAAGAAGGGAAAGGAAGAGAAAAGAGATGGGATGGAAGAAGGGAAAGAAGAAGAGTAGGGATATGGGAAGGAATAAAGGAAGGGAAAGCAAAGGGAAGGAAGAAGGGAAGAGGGAAGAGAAGGGAAGGGAAGGAAGAAGGGAAAGGAAGAGAAGGAATACAGGAAGGAATAAAGGAAGGGAAGGGAAAAGAAAGGAAGGAGGGAGGGAAGAGGGAAGAGAAGGGAAGAAGGGAAAGGAAGAGAAAAGAGATGGGATGGAAGAAGGGAAAGAAGAAGAGAAGGGATATGGGAAGGAATGGAGGAAGGGAAGGGAAAGGGAAGGAAGAAGGGAAGGAAGGGAAGGAAGAAGGGAGAGGAAGAGAAAAAAATGGGACAGAAGAAAGGAAAGAAGAAGAGAAGGAATGTGGGAAGGAATAAAGGAAGGGAAGGGAAAAGAAAGGAGGGAGGGAAGAGGGAAGAGAAGGGAAGGGAAGAAGGGAAAGGAAGAGAAAAGAAATGGGACAGAAGAAGGGAAAGAAGAAGAGAAGGGATATGGGAGGGAATAAAGAAAAAGGAAGGGAAAGGGAAGGAAGAAGGGAAGAGGGAAGAGAAGGGAAGGGAAGGAAGAAGGGAAAGGAAGAGAAAAGAAATGGGACAGAAGAAGGGAAAGAAGAAGAGAAGGAATACGGGAAGGAATAAAGGAAGGGAAGGGGAAGGAAGAAGGGAAGAGGGAAGGGAAGGGAAGGGAAAGGAAGAGAGAAAGAGATGGGACAGATGAAGGGAAAGAAGAAGAGAAGGAATACAGGAAGGAATAAAGAAAGGGAAGGGAAAGGAAGAGAACGAGATGGGGACGGAAGAAGGGAAAGAAGAAGATAAGGGAAGGAAGGAAGAAGGGAAAAGAAGAGAAAGAGATGGGGATGGAAGAAGAGAAAGAAGAAGAGATGGGAAGGAAGGGAAGAAGGGAAAGGAAGAGAAATGTGTTGAACCTGACTCAGCACATAGAAGATGGCTTTGAAAGGCAGCAGATCACAGGAGCTGTCTTCATAGACCTGTCAGCAGCCTATGATACTGTGAACCACCGCCTCCTCCTGAGAAAAATGTATAATATCACAAAGGACTACCACCTCACCCGCCTCATAGGAAACCTGCTACAAAACAGGAGCTTTTTTGTTGAGTTCCAGGCCAGAGAAGCAGATGGCGGAAACAGAAGAACGGCCTGCCTCAGGGGAGCGTGCTTGCTCCATCCATGTTCAACATCTACACAAATGACCAGCCACTGCCAGAAGGGACAGAGAGTTTCATCTATGCTGATGATTGTGCCATCAAGCAGGGAGCTTTGAGATGGTTGAACAGAAGCTCTCCGAAGCTCTAGGTGCTCTTACTGCCTATTACAGGGAAAACCAGCTGATCCCTAATCCATCTAAAACACAGACATGTGCTTTTCACCTTAAGAACAGACAAGCATCCCGAGCTCTGAGGATCACCTGGGAAGGAATCCCACTGGAGCATTGCAGCGCACCCAAATACCTGGGAGTCACTCTGGACCATGCTCTGACCTACAAGAAGCACTGCCTGAATATCAAGCAAAAAGTGGGTGCTAGAAACAATATCATACGAAAGCTGACTGGCACAACCTGTGGATCACAACCAGACACAGTGAAGACATCTGCCCTTGCGCTATGCTACTCTGGTGCTGAATATGCATGTCCCGTGTGGAACACATCTCACCACGCTAAAACAGTGGATGTGGCTCTTACTGAGACTTGCCGCATCATCACAGGGTGTCTGTGCCCTACACCACTGGAGAAATTACACTGTCTAGCCGGCATTGCACCACCTGACATCCGCCGGGAAGTAGCAGCCAATAGTGAAAGGACCAAGGCAGAGACATCTCCAGCTCATCCCCTGTTTGGGTATCAGCCAGCATGTCAACAATTTAAATCAAGAAATAGTTTTCTAAGATCTACAGAGACACTTGCTGGAACACCCCAGCAAGCGAGAGTCCAAAAGTGGCAGGCTCAAACCCAGAACCTCAATCAATGGCTGATACCAAATGAGAGACTCCCCCCTGGGCACACAGAAAACTGGGCGACTTGGAAGGCGCTGAACAGACTGCACTCTGGCACCACGAGATGCAGAGCCAACCTTAAGAAATGGGGCTACAAAGTGGAATCCACGACATGCGAGTGTGGAGAAGAGCAAACCACTGACCACCTGTTGGACCTTCTTGCGGCAACACCAGAGGCACTCCAAGTGGCCAGATACTGGTTAAAGGACATTTAATCAACTACCAAGCTTGCAAACTTTGTGTTTTGTCTGTCTGTTTGTTTGTTTGTTTGTTTTGTTAAAAATGTAATACAAATGTCTGGTTGCTCCTGACAGAATAATAATAACAACAATCATAGCCACTGAGAAAATGCACTCAAACATCATAATAATAATAATAATAATAATAATAATAATAATAATAATTATTATTATTATTATTATTATTATTATTATATATTACTCCGGCGGTGGCATCAGCGTGAGAACAACACCCTGGAGCTGAGAGAGGAGCAGAAGTGTTAACCACAGAGGGAAGAGACGGGTGCCAACTCCACTAAGTCTCAGCAAGCAAGAAAAAAATGTTTTCTGCCTGCAAGATGCTAGAAAGTGAAAATGGGGACAATCAAAAAGTTCAAGGAGGAGATGGCAACGGCGGCTCATCCCCACCCTTTGCTGTGCATCCAAAGCCAGGTCCTTCCAACATGAATGTCCTCCTCCAACACACACCGCATCACAAACAAGAACGTCATGGCTGGCCATCAAGATTCATGAGAACAGGACAATTTGGGTCTCTGTCCACTACAAACATATGGAGGCCCAACTGGCATCAAAATACCAAAACCCAACAAAGACAAAATGCCAGATCTTATGTCAACCTCCCCCCCCCCCCTCCAGATAAGAGCAAGCACAAATATAGGAATTATCCATATGGAAAAACAATGCACAAGAGGTGATCGAGCTGGGGTTTCCACACGGAGCAATGGGCTGGACTGGATGGCCTTTGGAGACGTCTTTTGATTGTTCGATTGTATGAGCATATGGGACTGGATGGCCTCTGGGGATCCCCTTTCCACTGGGGGATTCTATGTGCATATGGAAAAACAATGCGTAAAGGGTAATCGAGCTGGGGTTTCTGCATAGAGCAACAGGTTGGAGTGGATGGCCTTTGGGGACCCCTTTTCCACCATGGGATTTTATGTGCATATGGAAAAACAATGCAGAACGAGTGGTCGAACGGGGTTTTCTGCACCGACTAGATGACCTTTGGGGTCCCCTTTCTACTGTGGGATTCTATGTGCATATGGCACTGGATGGCCTTTGTTTACGTTTCCCCGCATCGTGGGAAAGTTTGATTCCACATCTCCCACTATAATGAGCCCTCCTCCACAAATAATTTGTTTCTCTTTTATCTCACCCGAGTTTTTTAACCAGTTTAAATTAGTTCTTTTAACCATTGCATGTAGTCCGCCCATTGTCACTGTGTTTGTGTTTATTGTAATTTTATATTGTTGTATATTCATATGTTTTATGTAATTATGATGCTGTTTATTGTTTACTGTTTGCGTTTTCGGTTTGCGTTTGGTCGTTCTTTATTGTAATTGTTGTTTGGGCTTGGCCCCATGTAAGCCACTCGATATGGGACTGAACGGCTTTTGGGGACCCCCTTTCCACTGTGGGATACTATGTGCATATGGGACTGGGTGGCCTTTGGGGACCCCCTTTGCACTGTGGGATTCTATGTGCATATGGGACTGGATGGCTTT